AGTTGCTTCCCTGCTAATCATATTCCACCAAACGATTGTGTCAAGTCACTGTTAGTAAAATAAAATAAAATTGCAGATGGTCAATGAAATTGAAAGCTGGCCCTATACATTTCCAGCTTCCGAGGAATTTCTCTCATCTGACCAACGAGGTAAAGTTCAAGGTAGATTGCTTGTCCATGACAGGTAGGTATCACTTACTTGACCTTTTGTGTTGAGAATTTTATTTATTTATTTTAATACAAGTGTTGAGAAATTATTAGGTATCACATTATTCTGCGCACTTGAATAAGTATTTAACATGTATAACCTGTGTAAAAATATTTTTAAAAATGAATATATCTCTATGTTAATTTTAACAATTTTATATATGCCAAATAATATTTTTAAAAATGTTTATGGCAGACTGTGTATGACTAAGAATTACTCCCTTTACGTTTGTACAGTAATTATTGAGTGAGCAGTGACTCTCATAGATACTTCATTCAATACTAAATATGAGTAACGCTATGAACCCATATTAAGAACATAACAATCTTGGGTTTGATTTTCTCATGTTAAATGAGAATTCAATTCTCATGTTGTAGAGATAAAAAATATGTGGAACTCATGTGTTAGAAAAAATTATATGTAGAATCCATATCAGCACAGAAATCGAAAGGTGTGTAGAAAAATTTGAATTCTCGTGTAAGATGAGAATTATAAAATCCATCTTTAAATACTGCATTTTTGCTCGTCAAAGAGTGAACAGAACGAGTAAAAGACGGGATAGTGTATTTTACATGTGTAATAGTGTTAAAAAATGTGTAAGGTTGAAAGCTTGCACTTTTCATAATTTAATTTATTCACGTTTTCTTACCATTTGCAAAAAATCTAGATATTTGGGTGTGTTTTTCTCTTTTTTTCTTTTTGCTGCGGTGGTGTATTTATCTCTCAATAAACCTGTATAGGTACATCCGTGATGCATTCGTCTCGGTTAGCGGTGCTTATGTGGGGTTAGCATCCGCAGGAGATGTTGGATCTTGGCAAAGAGAATCCAAGGTAAACCGTTTAGCTAGTTCCTTTTACCATTCGAGTATGGAACAAACAAAATTGAGCCACTAGGGATGTTAGGATATTTGATACGTTTTATTATATGTTATCAGGGTTACCAATTTTGGACCATTACTGATGATAAAGGCTATTTCTCAATTATTGACTTACGTCCTGGGGACTATAATCTGTACTCCTGGGTCACTGGATACATTGGTGATTATCAATATGATAGCGTCATTAACGTAACCTCAGGTCTTAACAAATTTATGAAGGCTTTTTTATTGTTCCAGACTATGTGTTACCGTTGTTCTAAACTAACTTGAGGTAAATGTGTAACATAGGTTGTGAAATTAATGTGGGTGAGCTTGTTTATGAGCCACCAAGAGATGGCCCTACGTTGTGGGAAATAGGCATCCCTGATCGCTCAGCTGCTGAGTTCTATGTTCCCGATCCAAATCCCATGTACATTAACAAACTTTATGTCAACCATCCAGACAGGTTGGTTCCTTTTTTTTTTTCCAATTCCAACTCAAATTGTCATAACTGCTACATACTATAATATAGACTAGCTAAATTATGATTGATCCCCTGGTTCTTAATTTTTTTTATCCAATATTAATTATTACTTGAACCTTCATTTTAGAAAAACTGAAAATTTTATGTGCCTATAACTGGCAGGTTTAGGCAATATGGCTTGTGGGAGAGATATGCTGATTTGTATCCTAATCAAGACCTAGTTTACACTGTGGGCATTAGTGACTACAGAAAAGAATGGTTTTTTGCTCAGGTTAACAGGTTTGTTTTTATCTTTTCTTTTCCTTTTTCCAATGCCCATAAATGTCCTCTTTTCATATTAATTTTTGCAATTGAACTTATGGCCTCTACCCTAACCCTGCCTCATGAAACCACACATGTTAGTAGAAAATCTCTTTCAAGTGTCTAAATTGAAAGTACCATTTTAGAGAGTTTTAGGTTCTGCTTTACTTTCTGAACATAACAACTTATAGCGTAGGTGTCTCCAATTTTCATTATTTTTATTCGGAATTCGGGTTGAAGAAATAAGAAATAAATTAGTTATATGAGTGAAATAAAACAACTTTTTTGTTGAGTAGAATTTACAAATACTATATTCCTTGTTGCTATGGTATTGTTTATTACCATAGTTAATAGATGCTAATTTGAAATTCCAGTAAAAATATTGAATAAAGTCTCCCTCCGTCCCTGTTGCGCTCCCCCCTCCCTCTCTCTCTCTGATTAATGTCTCAATCAGCTTCCTTCGCTGTTCTGCAGGAAGAAAGAAAATAACACGTACCAAGGAACCACATGGCAAATTAATTTCAATCTTGATTATGTGAATACCAATGGAAACTACAAATTGCGAGTGGCTCTGGCATCTGTACATTCTGCTGAGCTACAGGTATTAAAATTTGTATTCATGATTCGGTTTTGATATAAGAAATAGTAGTGCAATGTAAATAAGTATTTATCTTACTAACTACATTTTTTTTTTCTATTTTCCTTTTTCTTTCTTTTAATTATGAGAGGGTAGATTCGAATAAAGAATTCAGATGCAAACTCACCTTTATTTTCAAGTGGAGTGATTGGAAAGGAGAATACAATAGCCAGACATGGGATTCACGGGCTCTACTGGCTGTACAGCATTGATGTACAAGGCACTCTTCTTGTGCAAGGGAATAATACCATATTTCTAACGCAACATAGCAACACAAGTCCTTTTCAAGGAATTTTGTATGATTATATTCGTTTAGAAGGACCCTGTACATAAATCGTAAAGATCAAAACTGAAGATTCTTCTAAAGAATATTCGATGCGAAAATGTCGTAAATTTATTCAACTCGAATCAATGGAAAAATTATATAATGATCAGCAGATTATTTCAAAGGCAGATAAAATTATAAAACCTTCTGAAAGTTCTTTAGATTCTTCCTTTCCTACTTGCTTATTGTTTTGATTTATAAACGTGAATTTTTGCTTTCATCGGCATCTTAATTCTTCATTTTCTTTTCAACAGAGATGTCATGGAATAATAATAAAATCTTAACCACTAAAAAAAAATTCTTTGAAGTGACTATAAGATTTGAAACTAAAAGATTATTAAAATCAGATCGGATCAAAAATTTCTATCAATTGATCAGTTATGTATTCTATCGGTCTATCCGGTCATCTATCCAATCACTTTGGTGGTAATATTGACTTTCTATTATATATTTTTACATAAATTTAATTCAATCAGTTTAATTAATGACATGTCAATTGAACCAATAATTCATTAATCAAGTATACAATGCTCGATTAATCTCATTTTCCTTTGTTACAAAAACTTGTACCTCATAGACAATTTTTATTCCATCTAGTGAACTTTTGAGCATTACTTTAACCATTATACCAAAGTAATTTTCTTGTCTTAAAACACCTATTATCATATTTGTTATATATTAATAGGGACGGATTATTCTGCCTATTCTGATTTTGCATATTTTTACCTATCTCTCTCAACACTGCTAGATTACAATATCATCCAACGATGAAAATTTACAGAATAAAATAAACTCTTATTCCCTTTCCTTCTCCTCACTGTCTCCCACACTCTTTCTCTCTATCGATTTTTGTAATTTACAACCTGAAGTTATAGTTGAATCTAAATCCATTGAATGATTGATGGCGTGATAGTTATGCTGGATGAGTATAATTTTTAAATTTTCTTAAATCAGATATAATTGAACATGGCAGAAACCACAAAATTACAAAAAAACTAAAAACACGAATAACCCTTCATTGAATTAATCCACGATTACCGTAACATTTTTACTTTGCTGTTGAAATTTGAAACGAATCAACTTATCTACTTCTTCTTATCTTTGAAGTGAGGAGAGGATCTCTTCTCTCTATGTTACGCTCAACAGCAGACTTACCTGGTTACATAGCATAGGGCATCTTGGTTTATTTCTTCTTGACAATCCAATTTCAATTTTTTATGTAAATGCTCATAACAATGGCTGGGTTGGATGAATTGAGAAAAAAATTTGCACCTTTTTTGATATTGAAGCGCCATTGAAGAGAGAGAAAGAGTGAGAGGCAATGGGAGATAGAAAGGGGTAAAAAAATTTATTTTATATCATAATTCTCCACCGTTAGATGATATTATAATCTAACGATATTGAAAGGAATACGCAAAGATAGACAAAATAAGAATACGCAGAATAACCTATCCCATATTAATATATGAATAAATTCAGTCTAGTTGGGTCAACCATGACCCGTTAACTCATAAGGTGTTATAAGATAGGCATGACTTTGTATTAAGTCAAATAATATTAATAATTTATTTAAAAATGTAAAAGTAATTTCTTAATTTTTTTTTGTTTTTATACGATATTGAAATATTATGCATTTTTTTATTCTTATGATAAATACAAATTTAATTAATATTATATATTGTAAATGCAAAAGATACACAAAAAGTGTTGAATTATATATATTTTTTAGATTACTAAATAGTATAATTTAAAACTTACACTATAAAATAAAAGATTTTAGTTTATGGGGTAGGATATTGTAACAACCAATTATGATTACTACCAATTAATTTTAGCGTAAGATCGATTATGTGGATCTAATGGTCATATTTATTTTCATCTTTGTATGATTATGATTCCTCATATTAATGTGAAAGCATTAAATATGAGAAATCATAACTATATAAAGGTAAAAATAAATATAAAAAATTAAAAATAGAGAATCATAATCATACAAAGATGAAAATAAATATAACCACCGGATCGATAGTAATATTGACAATAACCCTAATTAATTGTTACAATATCCTAACCCTCAGTATATTATCATGACATAATTTTGTAGACACAAAATAAAATAAAAATAAAAAAGTTCAGGGTGAAAATCTTAAAAACCAAAACTCTAGTGAACTATTAGAAATATTTTGTCTTAGGCTAACAATACCTGGAAAAGCCCCATCTCCAGAATTAGCAGCCGCAGAACCCTAGTTTGGCCGAGTACACTTCACCATGGTTGGGATCAGATCTTAGACTCCTTTGAATTTTTTCTGTTAGATTCTCATTCTCATTTTTCAATCTTGTCCTTTGCAGACATTCAAGCGTCGGAATGGAGGTCGCAACAAGCATGGTCGTGGCCATGTCAAATTCATCCGATGCTCCAACTGCGGCAAATGCTGCCCAAAAGTACTTTAATTTTTTCGTACTTTCGAATTTGTGTGCAGCAAATCAATAAAGTTTTGGTCTTTACATTGGGTTTGTGATTTTATTGAAAAAAATAATAATAACAGGACAAATCAATCAAGAGGTTCCTTGTGAGGAACATCGTGGAACAAGCTGCTGTCCGCGATGTTCAGGAGGCTTGCGTCTACGAGCGTAATATTCTCTACATTCTCTCTTTGAAAATATCACATATGTTACGTTATTTGATTGGTTTGGTTTTGGTATTTGTAGAATACACACTTCCAAAATTGTATCTTAAGATGCAATATTGTGTTTCTTGTGCTATCCACTCTCATGTTGTAAGAGTTAGATCAAGAACTGATAGGAGGAAGCGTGAGCCTCCACAACGCTTCATCAGGCGCAGGGTAAGTCTATTCTACGTTTTCTGATTTTTTCTTCTTCTTTCCTCTGTGCTATATGATTTATAGTTTGATAAACTATTATTTATCCTAAGCTTTTTTACACCTAAAATAAACTACAACCGGAAACGCACTTATTCTTGTTTTAAATTGTGTTTTTGCTATGTGTTGCTAACTGCATAATAGTGGTCACGGTGGTATAATAGCCTGTACTTCTGTGACAAGTATTAAAACACAAGCTAAAGCTTGCTTCTTTTTTCTTTTTCTTTTTTTCCTTGGCGGATGGAGAGTTTCACAGCTCTGGAAAGATCTGAGATTGTAACCTAATCTAATTAAATTTGTGTCTATTACACTCTTGCATTTGAGCTATATGATTCAGAACTTGATATACCAAGTTGTATTTGTTTCTCTATAGGAAAATTGAAATTCCAATGAGCTGGTTTAATGTTAAAGAATAGATATTGCCCCTATTGAATGTACTAAAAAAACTATTTAACATTCTGTTTGCTTTAGGAGAATGTGCTATATTTATATGAATAGAGTCTGATTATCCGCGCATGAAATTGTTAGCAATGGTTGATTAGTAGCTTTTTTTTTTTTTTTAATTCTGAATTGTGGCTTTTTGCTTCAATTGCTGGTGTTTGATGAGTTTATTTGGCTCTGTTTGCTAGGATGATGCGCAAAGGCCTGGTCAACCTGGTCAAGCACCTCGTCCTACTGGTGTTGGAGCTCCTGCTCGAACATAAAACCAAAGAAATTTTAGCCATTAGGGTCACGTTGGATCAAATTTTATGATATACTTGAATTTCTTTTGTTGCATTAGAAAATTTGGTTTTTGTGTGGGGCTGTTATGTTTCCTTTTGTAATCTTCTGACATAGTTCTTGGAGATACCTTTCTAGTTATAATTTGGTGATTTTGATGAAAATAGAACTGATTCATGACAAATTTTAGCGTTTTTAAGTAAATTAATTTTAACGGGTATACACACCCATTTAGTGCCTACTTGGGAGTACTTATTTTTAGTTTATCTTCTCTCTTATAAGCAAAAGTTTATCTAAATTTTTCGTATCATAAAAAGAGCTTGATTTATTATGAAGAAAAAAAGATGAGTTTTTTTTAAAGGGGAAGGATATTGTGACAACCAAGTTGTGTTACTATCAAGTGACTACCAATCAATTTCACCGTTAGATCGATTATGTTGATCCAATGGTTATATTTATTTACATCTTTGTATGGTCATGATTCTCTATATTTAAAGTGAAAACATTAAATATGAGAAATCATAATCATACAAAGGTAAAAATAAATATAAAGTATTAAATTTGGGGAATCATGACCATACAAAGATGGAAATAAATATAACCGTTGGATCAATATAATCGATCTAATGGTAAGATTGATTGGTAGTCACTTGGTAGTAACACAATTTGGTTGTTACAATATCTTTTCCATTTTTTTAAAAGAGAAAAAACGTGTCATTTAAAAAAATATAATTTTGTATGTCAAGCAAATGTAATAATTTATTAGTTCAAAATTATTAATTAATTAAAATTTTGCAATAAATTATAATCGTTAATTGATATAAATCAACGGTTAAGATTTAAAATAACATAACGTTATATCTTTTAAAAAGCAAATATTTTTCCTTTTTAAAATGTGTATCAACTTTTTGAAGTTTTTATTTTAAATTTATATTTATAAATTTAATTATTTACCTTATTAATAAATCATTCCATTTTCTTTTCTTAACTATTTATAATTACTAAACAACTTACATATTCTTAGTTAAACGTTAACATTCATTCCTAAGGGTATAAATGAGTTAGGCCGGCTTACAGGAGCCTAGGATCTAGCCTATATTAGGTCAAGCTTAGCTTATTATAAATAATAAAATAGAACAGGCTTAGGCTTTTAAAAAAACCTATGTAGAAAACAGGTCATAGACTTTTTTATACATGTCGTGTCTATAAGTCTACAGGTCGGCTTATATTATATTATTTATTTTAAATAAAATAAATAAAATTTAATAATTTTGAATAATAAAGTAATATTATTTTACTTATTCTTTTAAGGGAAAAATGTGTATCATTTTAAAGGATATAAAGTTGTGTCATTTTAAATGAGAGAATAAATAGATAAATGAGAAGAGAGAGTTGACAAAAAAATATAAAGGTGCGGGTCTCACCTCTTTGTGAGAGTAATATGACATAAGTTGTGTCATTTAAAAGGACAAACACGTTTCCCTTTTTTTAATTGTTGAATGTTCAATAGGCTTAAACAGGCTAACAGGCTTAGGCTAGGGCTTTTATTTTTTAAATATAAGTCAGGCAATACTTGTAATTTGGGACATACACAGGTTAACAGGTCAGGCCAGGCCCTATGTTTTCTACACAGGCTTAACCTATTTAAGCTAAAGCCAAGCCTTATTTACACCCTTATTTACACCCTTATTCATCACCCCCCGGTCTCTAGGGTGATAGACGAATCAGAGGCCTTTCAGGGGCCCGTGAAGGCCTAAGCTTACATGTCTAAAATTGGTTGTTGGAACCAGGCTTGGACTTATATAAAAGCTTGTTTAATAAAAAGGCCTCAGGCTCCAATTCAAAAGCTCGACCTTAGAGCCTCTCAGACTGACCTAGTATATTAATTTTTATTTTATATTTTTTATACTACTTATAAGAGCCATCTCTCTCTCCTCAATTCATTTCATCCATTTTATTGGTTAAACAGATTTTTTCAATTGTTTTGTTCTATATTATGCTGTTTAGATATACATTTAATTTATGAATATTTATGAAATTACTAGTGCTGTTGGTTATATATTCTGTTTTGATAAATTTTTATTGCCTCATTTTTTTAAAATAGGCTAAAAGGCTAAACCAGACTTTTATTTTTTCTAAATAAACCGTGCCACAGGCCAATAATTATATTCATAGGGATAGGTTATTTTACCTACTCCTATTTTGCCTACCATTGCCTACCCCATTCAACACCGTCAGATTACAATCTCATCCGACGGTACATGTTTGCCAAATAAAACAAACCCTTTTTCTCTCTTTCTTTCTCCTCACTTACCGCCACACCCTTTCTCCCTCCTCCCCTTTCTCTCTTCCTCGCCACCAAGATCAAAATTCCGGTAACGAAAAAGGGTTCCTCCAAAAAAGAAAAACACATATTCGATAAAAAGAAAAAAAGAACGAGAAACAGAGCAGATCGACGACCATCAAACTTGAGGATTCCTTAGGGTTCATGGAGCTGGTCTCACTTAATTGTAATAAGACCATGGCGTGATTGAAAGATACCATAGCTGTCGCTTCCGCTAAAGGTGGTGTGATTACAAGTTTTGATTATTATTTTTCATTCTTTCTCTTCGAAGGAATGATTTTTCTTCTTCAAGTTTTGATTATTTTTGTTGGTGATGAATGAGTGGAGTGTTGTTTCCACATTCAAGCAATGGTGATAATGTTAAAGCCATATGAATTGTGTTTAATTTGTTGCTATTTTGATGGAATCAAATAGAGTAATTAGAATGTATGAACTCTTTCTCTCTCTTTTTATTCAGTTTTTCTTATCCTTTTTTTCTTTTTAAATTTTTTATTCTTTCTTTGAAGTTGTTTCTTATGCATTAATTATACATTAAGCTTTGATTTATGGCTAATTTTTTTTCCAGCTTCCATTACAATTCATGCCAATATATTTCTGCTCATTTATTTTCATATGTTGGCTGCATTGAGGCGGCCATGCAACTGAGATGTTGCGATGGCATCATGTGATGCTCTCTATGTTTTAAAACGCTATCTGATTATATATGAATTCTGGGTTTTTTTAAAGATCCATTTAGTGCATTATTATGTAATTTACCAACTTGTTATATACTTACAGCCACTGAACCACAAACAAGAGGCTTTAGTGTAGGGATTCTGAGACAACTTAGGCTACCGCCTGGGATCACAAAGCACTAAGGTTGAGCATTGTTGGCTGAACCCAGAAAAGCCTTGAGCATTGTTGGCTGAACTCAGAAAAGAAATTGTAAGCAACAGTTAGATTTGCAAGGCTTCTCAGAGAGCAGATTATATCTGATAACTCCCCAGAAAGTTTGTTGTGCGCCAAATTCAGAACTTCTATATTTTGCAGGCAAGATAATGTGTCTGGCAAATGACCCATCAGTGCATTGAAGCTCACATCCAGAAATTGCATCTCTGTGAAGAGCCACACTCCTTGAGGAATGCATCCAGTTAGCTGGTTATTGAGGAACAAAATCTCTTTTATTTTAGAACCCATGAAGCCAAAACTTGCTGGGATGTTTCCACTCAACTTGTTGTTGGCTAAATTTATCACAGAGGCAGGGGAACTACCCAAATTTTGTGGAATTTCACCTTCAAGTTGATTGTTGTTGAGAAATACTGCATCCAAATTCTTATTGAAGAGTTCTTGAGGAAGTGGCCCTAAGAAGTAGTTGAATCTGAGATCCAAGTAGATGAGGCTTGTAATCTTCTACTTGTAATCTTCCTTGTAAAGCGTATCATGTTTGTAAAGCATATCATGTTTGTAAATAACATGAAAAAATATTCTACCCGTATCATGCTAATTTAATTTGTTCTCTTCTCCTTGTAATCTTCCTTTGGTTGAATGTATCTATCTCATTTGTAAAGCATATCATGTTTGTAAAAAAAAATTGGGATGGGAATCAAAATTTAAAACCTTCAGTTCGAATGTCACCAAGTTTATTTATTGATTGATATATACAAATCAGAGGCTAACTGAATGTTAACATGCAACGATTCATTCCAATTTTTCTGCAACTGAGTATATGTAATTAGTTATATTTTTTATTTTTAACTGTTCCTTTTATCGGATTATAATATAATTAAGTAAAGTAGTGGTGCTAGCATACTGGTTTTTAATTCAGAGTCCCTGGTGGCAAAAATCGCAGTACACGATGAGAATGAACTAGATAAACCATATAATTCAAAACTATGTACTATTTTTTAATAATTTTCATTCAATCTTTGTTGTATCTTTCAAGGAATACTTAGCGCTTGTGTAAGTAACAGTAAGAGCTTGTGTAATTTCATATTAGCAATCTGACAAAAACACTTGGGGCTCTCTCACCTTGAAAGAGAAGGCATATTTCAAGCTTGCATTATAAAAAAGGACAAAGCATACTATTCACTTTCTATTTTCTGATGGCCAATAACTTTTTACCTCTTGAAAGAGATGGCTAGACACAAAACCCTCTCCCAAGGGTTATTGGCTTCCGCAAGAATTCACAAAATAGCAAGTTTGAAGCTTAAACAATCTTATATGTTGTGAGTTGGGATTCCTTTATGGTGTAAGATGTGAATTAATTGTTTTACTTCTAGCAAAATTCAGTCTGCATAATTACTAATGAAAGCAAATAGCTTCACTCACAACATATAAATTCAGTTTGCTAAGTTTAACCATTATATGCAACCATCTCTCAAGGCAACCAAAGGTATAACCAGAAAACAACAATAAAAACCAGAAACTATTTGTGATCAAGCTTTACAGTTAATGAGAAGTTCAAACTTATCTATAAGTATGTAATGAGCTTCCTGAACTTCATTTAAAAAAAGTATAAATAAAGAATTGAAACCACAAAAAAACATCAACAATCAATGCATATTTATTTCTTTGCAGGTGCGCTTATTATGTCCCTGTTTCTTGCAGTTTCCGCAAATACTAGATTGCTTTGCTGCTTCTTCAATCCCGCTACGAATCCTTTTTCGGCCTTTCGTCTGGGAAATGTTGGGATCTTTCAGGTTTATCATAGAAGAATCTTCGAGTTGAGAATTCAAGCACTGAATATCAGTATCCCCAAGGGCATTACTCCCCTCATATGTTGGAATCTTTTCAGCAGATATAGCAAGAGAATCAAGACCATCATAAATAAATTGAAATGCTTCATCTGACCTCTGTGCAAGCTCAATAAGTCTATTACATTTAGAGCTTAGGTGAAGACTGTGGACGAAT